TCCTAGAAAAATAAAGGCAATTCAGGATTGGCCTTGTCCTTCTAAGATCAAGGAATTGAGGAGCTTCTTGGGATTGGCAGGCTACTACAGGAAGTTTATAAGGAATTATGCACTGCTAGCCAAACCCTTAACACAATTATTAAAAAAGGGTCACTTCAATTGGAGCATTGAAGCTACACAAGCTGTAGAGGAATTGAAAACTGCCCTCACCACCGCCCGAGTTCTAGGTTTTCCTAATTTTGCAAAGACATTTGTTGTGGAAACTGATGCCTCTGCCTATGGAATTGGATCTGTCTTAATGCAAGAAAATCATCCTTTAGCTTTTCTAAGCAAAACATTGGGACCTAAGTGGAAACAATTGTCAGTATATGAGAAGGAGTTACTTCCTGTGGTACATGCAGTGCAAAAATGGGAATAGTACTTAAGTAGTAACACCTTTGTGATTATTACTGACCAAAAAAGTTTGAAATGGCTTATGGAGCAGAAAATTTCCAGTCCCTTTCAACAGTTTTGGTTATCCAAATTGATGGGGTTCCAATATGAGATACACTACAGGAAAGGGAAGGAAAATGTGGTGGCAGATGCTTTATCTAGGGTTAAGGGATCGGAATTATTGGCTTTAGCAATCTCTGGGGTGCAATCTGGCGTTTTAAAAACCATTGAAGAAAGTTACCAGTTGGATAATAACTTAAGGGAAACCAAAGCAAAGCTACAACAAGGTGAGGCAGTACCAAAATACAGTTTACATGGAAACCTGTTGAGGAAAAAAGGGAGGCTTGTGGTTGGACCAAATGCTAACCTAAGGGGTCAAATCCTCACATGGGTACATAATTCACCAATGGGGGGACATTCAGACCGAGATGCAACACTGAAGAAATTAAAAAACCTGTTTGTTTGGAAAGGCATGACCAAGGAGGTATAGAATCATATTCGGCAGTGTGTAGTGTTCCAAAGCTGTAAGTATGACAATAGTCCTTATCCGGGTCTTTTACAACCCTTGCAGATCCCCGATGAAGTATGGAAGGACATTTCTATGGATTTCATAGAAGGTTTACCCAAATCTGGTGGAAAGGAAGTTATAATGGTGGTAGTTGATAGGTTTAGCAAATATGCACACTTGATGACACTGAAACATCCATTTTCAGCTATAGAAGTGGCACAAACTTACCTGAATAATGTGTTCAAGCTTCATGGATGGCCTCAAACTATTGTAAGTGATAGGGACAAAATATTCCAAAGCAACTTTTGGAGAGCATTGATGAGTATCCAGGGCACTGAGCTGTTATTGTCAACTTCTTACCACCCACAAACTGATGGGCAAACAGAAGTGGTGAACAGATGTCTTGAGGCCTACCTAAGGTGTATGTGTAGTGATCAACCAAAGGAATGGAGTAATTGGATTGCCTTAGCAGAGTGGTGGTACAACACCTCTTTTCACACTTCTATACAAATGACACCTTATGAGGTAGTTTACAGTCAACCACCTCCTATCCATCTTCCATATCTACCTGGGGAGACTAAAGTGGAGGCTGTTGATAGATCCCTGCAAAGAAGAGAAGCTATGATTCAGGTCTTAAAATTCCATTTATTGAAGGCTCAGCATAGGATGAAGATGCAAGCAGATAAACACAGGTCTGAAAGGCAAATGAAGGTGGGGGATTGGGTATGGTTGAAGTTACAACCATACAGGCAACAGACTTTGCAATCGAGACCCAATTAGAAGTTGGCTCCTAAGTTTTATGGTCCCTTCCAAATACAAGCTAAGGTGGGACAAGTGGCCTACAGATTGCTATTACCTCGAGAAGCTCAAATTCATCATACCTATCATGTATCCCAACTTAAGGAATTCAGGGAGTTTTGCCTAACAAACCACACATCCTAGAAGTGTTACAAGGAAGGAATGTGGCTATCCCTGTTAAACCAGTTGCTGTACTGGAAAGGAGGATAGTCAAGCAAGGAAATAAGGCTGCTGTTCAATATTTAGTTCAATGGGAAGGGCAGAGTGTGGAAGATGCCTCTTGGAGAAATGCTAGAGACTTTGAGCAAGAATTTCCTCAGTACTTAGCTGGTTGTGTATGTTTGGGTTGCAGGGGATGAGGGTTCTCTTTTTATGGGGGAAGGAATGATACAGTTGCCACGTGTATCATGACGATTGAGAATTTGTTACAAGTTAGTTACCAGTTAATGCTTTGTACCCCTTTAAATACCCTAATATCCTCTGTAATAATCATGATGATGAATAATACAATTCCTTTCTTGTCTCTTTCGTTCTCTTCCTCTCTCTAATCTGTTCCCTGCGATCAACTGTGTTGATCGCCATAGCTCATCCTCGAGGATCTCTTCCTTTCTACGAGTATCCTCCTGCATTGACGCTATCAGTGTGACCAGACTCACTGGTAAACACCGACAATGGTGGCATTTAACCGGCGAGGAACCCTCACTCTTTTTGCGTAAACAGTACAGTCCGATGTGAATTAGTGGATGGATATCAGTGGCCTTTTACCCTCCATTTATATTTAAAGTAATTTTTCTAATTCTTAATATCCAAAATGTAACTTTGGATCTACTCCCTCCGTCGCTAAGTATTTGTCTACTTTTGACTTTTTTCAGTAAAAATTGATAAACTTTGACTTTAAATTAAATAAAAATGATACTGGATATTGATACAAAAAGAGTTTTCTTAGATTTATTGTATCAAATATTTTCAAAATATTATTTTATTTCATTAAATTACAATATATATTTTATTTAATTATAGGGCAAAGGTTGAAAACAGTTGACCAAAAAAATTCAAAACTGGACAAATGCTTAGGGACGGAGTTAGTAAGTTTTATCCATTCGGATATTAACTTGGTCTAGTTCTAACCCAATCATATCCTAAACTCTTCCTTAAGTATATTTTCACATCTTTATGTACGAAAAAATATTTTTAAATATAAAAGTATTTTTAGTCTTAAAAACTAAGATTTCTAAAATTCTTTTATAAAAAAGTATTTTTCTATAAAAAATGTATTTAAAAACGTAACGGTTATTCAAAAGTATAAAAATCTGAATTTTTGAGGTATAACAGTAATCGTATGTGTGAAGAAGATACAAATGATGTTATTATTTATCCAAAGAAAGTCAAATGTTAGACTTATTCAAAAATATATATTTTTCCATCTCTACAAAATGTGAAACAAAAATATACAATTTTAGACAAAATAGTATTTTTATTTTAGAAATTATATCAAAATTGGAGGCGGCATAGAAATATAAAATCGTAGTGATGAAAAAATTCAAATAAAATTTGGTATATTTTTTTTAAAAACATTGCAGATTATGATAAAACATAATATACTACAACAAATTTATCTCTACCTGTCGTGGATGAGACCACTTGCATCCATCTTTACGATATAAACAAACTAAAAAAAATAAAGAAACTTAAAACAAAATAATAAAAAATTCATAACCCCAAAGATCTATGCCTAAAAAAACTTTCCATAGCAAGACTCCTGAGAGAGTGTTGCATTTAGAGAAGGGGAGCATCAATCCCTAATAAAAAATTTTATACTTAAAATATTTTAGATATGTGTTGATGTAATTTAAATCTCTTATTATCAAGGTTCTATCTCATATATCGAGCTATTATATGAACTCATATCTCATTTTGAAATTTAATCACAAAAAAAAAACAAACTAAAAAAAAATCTGACAGTGAACCTTGCAATAAATCATAAATTCATGAAATTTTAAAGAAATTGTAAAAATATCAGCTATAATCTGATATCAGTCAAAGGTAATAATCGTGTAAATAATGATTTTAAGGGGGATAGAAGAAAATGAAAAAAGAGAGGATAAGAGAGTGAAATGCAGCATAAAGTGTGATCATTAACACCTAAAAATATCAGAGACTTCGAGGTGTACACGCTAATATCAAAAAGTGGATGGGGAGTGTTAATTTTAATCTTTTATTTTACATCGTTACAGATTTAATAAAAAAGTTAAATGCATTTTTTATTCTTCAAGTCCTCTTAATACCAATTCAAATGCAATTTTTTAACAAAACGCTATCAATATTTTTATTCTTAAAAAAATATTGGGAATTAGGCAAGAGTATTTGATATATATAAAACGAACTCGATTAGATCTTCAGTTGGCGTTTTACACACTACAAAGTATTAGAACTCGATTATATCTTCAGGAATTTCAAATCACAAACTAACATTAAAAGTTGGTACTCTGATATTGCTTATGCGTAACATTGATCATGCTAATGATCTATGCAACAGACCACGGTTAATGGTTACAAGACTTTGTAACCGTCTCTTGGTAGCAAGACCACTTGGAAGGGACTTTTGAATCGGTTGTTAGCTAACAACCGATGCAAAAGCCCATTCCCATGTTGTGTCTTTTGCATCAGCTGTTAGCTAACAGCTGATGCAAATAACTTTTTTTTTTAAAACCTATGCAGTTCGTATAACGCACTACAATTGCAATTTTGCACAGAACTCACATAATTCTTTGCAATTTTGCACAGAATTCATAGAACCAATAACACCAACACAACCCAACAACACAATTTTCACCAAACTAGGGTTTTCTCATTAGCTTATAAATTTATAAAAGGAGCATAATAAAAAGGCAGAACAATGGGTACAGGTGTACATCGCACACTTGACTACGGGAGCTAAAAGAGGTTTTTTCTCCAATTTTATATCTACCCTTATGTAATTATGTGTAGAATATATATATATATATATATATATATATATCTNTTATATATATATATATATATATATATATATATATATATATATATATATATATATATATATATATATATATATATATATATATATATATATATATATATATATATATTTTACGTAGTACAAGTTTTAAATGTCTTCAATAGAAAAATGTCTTCAACATGGGAATCTTTGAAATTCACTCTTCCTGACTAAAATGACTAAACCATTATGCTCTCACAAAGACACTGAATAACTAAGATAAAAAGGGGAAACTCTTTTTTACTCATAGCTGAGAAAAAAGCATAGGATTTTGAATCCTTGAAAACAGTACACATCTAAATGAGAGAAGTTGTAAAAAGTAAAAAGGAAATGAGACAGCTTTAGACTTGTGATTTATGAAAAGAAGTATCGGTAGCCCCATCTGCAAAACAAAATTTCTTTTGAATCGAATTTATCTTCATAGCAGATGAGCGGGCAATGGAAGAACCACGTCAAGAGGGTACATCTTCCTCATGCGGTTAGAGCAGACTGGGCAGCAAGCCTCTTCTTTGCCTCTTCAATAATGGTCAGCTTGATACCTTTCCCCTTGGGGAGAGAAACCCAGGGCTTGGTGCCCTTACCCTGTTAGTGAATATCACATTTAGTGTTATATTTTTTCTTATTCGTTATGCTCGTGCTGATGTGGCTTAGCTTAATATGTTTAGTATAAATACTCTCTTCTTTTTTGTTTGTAAATGTGAGTTCAGAATATTCCCGTAACAAACGCCTTCTGTTATTTTCATTACAATGGAGTTCTACGTTTCTTCATCTTCTTCGTTAAGCTCTTGAAGTTTTCTGCTCAATTCTTCAATTTGAGCTTAAATCAACATGGTATCAGAGCTGGTGAAGCTCTTGAAGTTTTCCAGGTTTATTTCTCAATTTTTTTTTAATTGAATCAAGGATCCTTCATGGCGTCACGGAATACAGATAATTCTGGTAATTCCTCCACAATCGCACCTCACGATCCATTATACTTACATCCATCGGATCATCCTGGGATGAATCTAGTCTCCAAACGGTTTGATGGTGAAGGTTTTGGATCCTGGAAGAAATCCATTTCGATTGCACTATCAGCCAAGAACAAATTGGAATTCACTAAAGGAAATATTCCGAGACCTGATAATGATCCTCTTCAACTCAATGCCTGGCAGCGTTGCAATGATATGATCACTTCATGGATTCTGAATGCACTCAGTAAGGAGATTGCTGACAGCGTTTTATATGCTAATTCTGTTTCTGAGATTTGGACAGAACTTGAGGAACGTTTTGGACAATCCAATGGCGTAAGGTTGTACCAATTACAGAAAGAGGTTTGCTCAATTACACAAGGAAACTCTGATATTGCTGCATATTTTACTAAACTGAAGACTGCTTGGGATGAACTGAATATTGTGTGTAATCTTCCAAAGTGTACCTGTGGTGCTGTGCAAGCCTTACTCAAATATGAACAGGATCAGAGACTAATTCAATTTCTTATGGGTTTGAATTCAGACTATAATGTCCTTAGAGGAAATATATTGGTCATGAGACCTCTGCCAACTGTCAGCGAAGCATATGGCTTAGTTATTCATGAGGAAAAGCAGAAGGAAATACAATCCTCCTCACCTTTCATGGCAGAACATGCATCCTTAAATGCTAACAATCAATCCACCTTCAAACCAACATACACTGCAGGGGGTTACAAAGGCAAGCTTGACAACAAGAAACAAATATACTGTGAACATTGCAAGAAACCAGGTCACTCAGCCAATAAATGTTACAGGCTTGTTGGTTATCCAAAGGATTTCAAGTTTACCAAAGGGAAGAAAGTGGCAGCTCAAGCATTCAGTGGAGAGGAGTTAATGATGACTGAAGAACATTCCAGTGGTCAGGATAATGTTGCTTTGTATAACCAATTCATGCAATTCCTGAGCACAATGAGAGCTGGTGATCAACCTTATAAATCTAATGGGGATTCAAAGGCCACTGCTTTTTCTGCACATATGGCAGGTATGATTTCAGCTTCACATAATTTCTTGTCTTCTCACTTGTGCAATACTGTGTTTAAAATTGATGACTATAGTTGGATTTTAGATACTGGAGCTACTGACCACATGTGTTCCAATATCAAGCTGTTTTGTGATCTTAAATCTCTTTCAACTCCACAACACATTACCTTACCCAATAATCAAAAACTCATTGTCTCTCAAATTGGAACAGTCATTTTACCCCATGATATACATCTGGAAGGAGTCCTTTTTGTTCCTTCTTTCACATATAACTTGTTGTCAGTGAGACAGTTATGCAGTCAGTTGGGTGTTACTGCAAGCTTTACCCAAGGTCTGTGCATTCTGCAGGGCCATTCAATGAAGAAGCCACTGGTTCTTGGTGAGAGACATGGAGGTCTTTATGTTTCAAAAGGAGTTTCAGAAACTCAATCTCAATCAACACAAACTGATGCAATTTCCAACACTTGTCTCTTGCATAATACTAGTTTTCTTTCTTCCATTTCCTGTAATAAAGCTTGTAAAATTGTTGATCCTACTGGCTGGCACATGAGAATGGGACATTTACCTGTATACAAGCTGAAAACAATTACTGATTTTGGTATTGTCAATACAGATTGTTTGTCTACATGTGATGTATGTCATAAGGCCAGACAACACAAACTTCCTTTTCCACATAGCCAAACACACAGTAATCACATTTTTGAACTCATTCACATAGATATTTGGGGACCTTATCATACAAAAACTCACAATGGTTTCTCATATTTTCTCACCATAGTAGATGATTTTTCTAGATCTACTTGGACTTATCTTTTATCAGCTAAAAGCAATGCCCCAGATTTGATTCAAACATTCATAACCATGATTCAGACACAGTTCAATACAGCTGTTCAAAACATTAGATCGGATAATGCTTTAGAACTTGGGAAAAGCACATCCATGATTCAATATTTCATGACCAAAGGTATACTACATCAGACCACCATTAGAAATACTCCTCAACAGAATGGGGTGGTTGAGAGAAAACACAAACACTTACTTGAGACTTCCAGAGCCTTGTTGTTTCAATCTAACCTACCTATGAAGTTTTGGGGTGAGTGTGTACTTACAGCCACATACCTCATCAACAGGTTTCCCTCTAAAGTCCTTCAAGGAAAAAGTCCCTATGAGAAATTATTTGGTAAACCCCCCATTTATCACCATCTTAGAGTCTTTGGGTGCCTTTGTTATGTCTCTACACAAACACAAGGTAGGGGTAAATTTGCAGAGAGAGCCTCTGCCTGTGTTTTTCTGGGTTATTCATATGGAAAAAAAGGCTTACAAGGACTTAAATCTCTCAACTCAGAAACTTGAAGATTCTAGAAATGTCATATTCCATGAGAACACCTTTCCCTTTCATAGTGTTTCTTCATCAGAATTCATCTTTCCTTCACCCCAATCTCCAGGTTCATTATTTGAGGATGACCTGTCCATAAGTCCTTGCCCAGTTTCAAACATTCCTTCTCAATTTTCATCACATCACTCAACTACAGGTTGTCAAGATGCATCTTCCCAAAATCAGCATTCAGCTGTAAACACTCAAATTCCCATTCCCTCCAACACACTCAGACAATCTGCCAGATCCCATAAACCACGTTCTCATTTGGATGATTATGTGTGTTACTCTACAATATCCTCCACTTCTCAACCCATATTCTGTGCCCATACCATCACTTCCTTCCCCTCTTCCTCACATGTTTGCTCCAGTGCTCTAACCACTGATAGTCAACAATTTTTGCATAGTGTTTCACAAATGCAGGAGCCTAGATCTTATGAGGAAGCTAAAGGAATACCTGCTTGGGAGGAAGCTATGCAAAAGGAGCTTCAAGCTCTCCATGACACAGGAACTTGGGTGATCTGTGATCTTCCTAAAGGGAAGAAACCTATAAGTAGCAAGTGGGTCTACAAACTTAAATACAAATCAGATGGATCTTTAGAAAGACACAAGGCGAGACTAGTCATAAGAGGGTGCACTCAAAAGGAAGGTATTGATTACCATGAAACTTTCTCACCAGTAGTTAAGATGACTACAATTAGATGCTTGCTTGCTACAGCTGTTAAGAAGAAATGGCCTTTGTTTCAATTAGATGTTAACAACGCATTTTTGTATGGGGATTTGGATGAGAACATCTTCATGAAGCCACCTCCAGGTTTGCCATTACCACATCCTACTAAAGTTCTGAAGCTTCAAAAGTCCTTGTATGGTCTCAAACAAGCATCTAGGCAATAGTATGCCAAACTCTCTACTGTTTTGAGATCTAGAGGATATATCTTTTCCAAAAATGACTACTCTTTGTTCACAAAGAGGAATGGAGATTTGGTGGTTCACCTTGCTGTATATGTAGATGACATTCTACTTACTGGAAATGATAGTGATGAAATTCACAACTTAAAGCTTTATCTGGATTCTGTTTTTAAGATCAAGGATCTCGGACACCTGAGTTACTTTCTTGGTTTGGAGATTCTTTACCAACCTCAAGGTCTGCTCATCACCCAACGCAAGTTTACTCTAGATCTTCTCAAGGAGTATCAATGCCCTCCTCACAAAACAGCAATCTGTCCTTTAGAAGCCAATCTACAACTTCGCATGGACATTGGACCATCACTTCCTGATCCTGCTTCCTACAGAAGACTGATAGGCAAATTGAATTTTTTGACTCATACAAGACCTGATATTGCTTTTGCAGTTCAGTTTCTAAGTCAGTTTATGCAGAACCCAAGACAACCTCATTGGGAAGCAGCCCTACATACTCTCCATTATCTCAACAGGAACCCTTCTCAGGGATTGTTTTTCAATCCTTCTTTTGACTTTAAACTGGAGGCTTATTGTGACTCTGATTGGGCTGCTTGTCCTACTACACGAAGGTCTGTTAGTGGATACTTTATCCTATTAGGAGGTTGTCCTATATCCTGGAAGGCAAAGAAACAGCCCACAGTTTCCCTTAGCTCTGCTGAAGCCGAATACAGATCCATTCGACGTGTCACCACTGAACTTGCTTGGCTCTCTCGCTTGCTCTCTGAGTTTGACATTCCAGATATTTTACCCATTCCAGTCAAATGTGACAGTAAAGCAGCAATTTACATTGCCACAAATCCAGTTTACCATGAGAGGACAAAACACATTGAACTCGATTGTCATTTTGTACGTGAGAAATTACAAGATGGGCTCATTACTCTTGACCATATCCCCACTAGGTCTCAAGTTGCAGATATGTTCACCAAAAGTTTGCCTGGTCCAGTTCATCATCATCTCCTTCCCAAGTTGGGAGTTCTATCACCCACCAACTTGCGGGGGGCTGTTAGTGAATATCACATTTAGTGTTATATTTTTTCTTATTCGTTATGCTCGTGTTGATGTGGCTTAGCTTAATATGTTTAGTGTAAATACTCTCTTCTTTTTCGTTTGTAAATGTGAGTTCAGAATATTCCCGTAACAAACGCCTTCTGTTATTTTCATTACAATGGAGTTCTTCGTTTCTTCATCTTCTTCGTTAAGCTCTTGAAGTGTTCTGCTCAATTCTTCAATTTGAGCTTAAATCAACATACCCACAGTAAAAACATTCCCAAGTCGGGTGGCAAACTCGTGGCCGAGGGCATCCTGGACGTGGATGGTCTCGAAGCTTCCCTTATGTTTCTCCCTGCTCTTAACGATTCCAACACGCCCCATGTTCCTTCCACCGGTCACCATGACCACGTTCCCAACATCAAACATGATGAAGTCCACAATCTTGTTGGACTCCAAGTCCAACTTTACTGTATCGTTGGGCTTGATAAGAGGGTCCGGGTAGCGGATGGTCCTACCATCATAGGTGTTGAGGTATGGAATTCCCTTCTTTCCAAACTGGATGGAACGGACTTTGCAGAGTTTGAACTTAGCCTCCTCATCCCTGATTGAGTGAAGCCGGAAACGTCCCTTTGTATCGTAGAGGAGACGGAAGTTCTCATTTGTCTTTGGAATTGAAACAACATCCATGAAACCTGCAGGATAGGTCTTGTCTGTCCTAACCTTACCGTCTACCAAAACATGTCGCTGCATCAAAATGGAGATGACTTCACGGTATGTGAGGGCATACTTTAACCTGTTCCGAATGATAAGGATCAAAGGCAAGCATTCCCTAGATTTGTGTGGTCCAGAAGAAGGCTTAGGTGCAAATGCCCCGCCGAGTTTATCCAGCATCCAATGTTTGGGGGCGGGCATTTAGCCTCTTCAAGTGCTTCTTCAAACCTCTAGCCATGTTGGCGGGTGGTCAGCTGAAAATCTAAGTCCCGGGTGATCGGCCACCTGCCGCCGGTGCTGCTCCGCTGCCGCTTCTTGAGATTGTCCAGTCTAACCCTCATATATATATATATATATATATATATATATATATATTTATATATATATATATATATATATATATATATATATATATATATATAGACATATATATGTGTGTGTGTGTCTATATATGGGTACGGGTTTCTCAATCTGTCAGGATAACTTGTCTTATACCCAACCCATTTATTTTAATTAAATAATGGGTACGAGTATACATTATTTTTATTGAACCAAACCTGCCAATAAACTAGAAGTATTATTCAAGTTTGAATCCAGACCTGAACCTATGACATGCCTATTTTAAGGGATTTAAGGAAGGATATTTTGTGTTAATTCCAAAATTACCATTAATGTAATGGATTAAATAGGATGTGATGTGTACATTATCACCGGATAAGTGTGATGTGATGAATAAGGTAGGAACTAGTAAGAGTAAAAGTGATTGTTTAATCGAAAGGACAAATGGATTTGAACAAAAAAAAAAGGGAGAAGAATTTTAGAGACGGAAGGAAGGAGTATGTTATTTGAACATAAACCCTTGGCTATGCGGCTGTCTGTATATTAAAACTCATCAATTACATTAGAGATGTATGTATACATGGTGCAGGACTCATACGCACTGTGCCGTGTGTTCAAGAAGAACGGAATATGCTATGGAAAAATCGAAGAGTTGCAAGCACAACAGCCCCATGCTGCGACTGGTAGCAGTAGTAGCAGTAGCAGTTTGCAAGTCCTCACGCGGCAGGTCACTGTGGCCTGCTATGAAACACCTTCACCCGACATTCCGTTCACGTCGTCCTCTTGCAACGACATCAAAGATGATCAAGATAAAGGCGGTGATGAGTCGTGGATGCAGTTCATCACTGAGGATGCTTGGTCTTCCTTCACTTCGGACTCTGTGTCCCAAACAACCCCCACTTTTACCACCTAATATAATGTTCTCTTGCTTGCAGCCTCAGCTTTATCATAAGTGATGCAATAATACAAATATATAACTACTACTGTATGTATGTATGTATGCATGCATGCATGCATGCATGCATGTATGTATGTATGTATGTAGGTATGTGTGTGTGTGTGTCTTTCTATCTATATCTATCTGTATTAAACAAAAATGAATCAAATGAGTTTCATTTACCATGTTTTCAATTCCCATGATTTTTTTGTTTTACACTTTAGTTTTTAAAATACTTAGTTTTTTTTATAGGAATGAAATATTTTCATTTAGGAACAAGTACTTTCATTTAAGTTGATTTTAAAAAAATTAGAATTTTTTTGGTTTCGAGAAATCTTGACTGATTGTGTCCATTTTAGGTAATCAATAAGGTCCTTTTAAATAATACTCCCTCCGTCCCATAAAAAAGTTCCCGTTTTGACCATAAATTGGTCAAATTGTTGCACACTTTGACCCTAAATTAAATATAATCTAAATAAAGAAATGCTAAAAAAATTTGAGATATCAAAACTAGATCCTAAAATGAATCCAATTATATAAAATTTATTTCATAATTCAATATACATTTCTCACAATTTGTAGTCAAAGCGTGTAAATATTTGACTAAATACTATTCAAAATGAGAACTTTTTTGTGGGACGGAGGGAGTAATAAGTACTACTCAAAAATGGGAGGTAGAGAGTTTAAACATAATTTGTCCCTAGAAGAATGACTTTATAACAAATTGCAATGCAAGAAGTTTTTATTTAGGCTGAAGTGTTTCAAAAGAAAGAAATTATTTCATCTAGGGAGAAGTATTTTAATTTAAGTTGTTTTTTTAAATAATTCTTGGTTGTTTGTGTCCAGTACTCACAGTAAATAAAGTTTTTTTTATTAAATTATATGTATGACTCAAGAAGTGGGACGTAGGGAGTTTAAATTCGTCCCTTAAAGATTCAGTGTACAAATCAAATTGGGATGTAGGTAGTTTTAAGTTTTTATATGAAAAATGAAAATCAAATGAAAGTTTAAGCATGCTTTTTATATAAGTATTTCTATTGCATAAAAAAGTTAAAATGAATTAATGAGGACATGGCAAAGTGAATTTTAAAACTTCATTATAAGAGAATTAATTTGTTTACAATGAGAGGGGTTAAAAAATATGGATTAAAAAATAAATAACTCTCATCTAATTATGTTAATTATTGTATAAATTCCTATCTTAGGAAGCTCATTATATATTTAAACACCCCATTTTTTGTATTATCATGTCATACTTTATAGTCACTACTACAAAAAAAAAGTCGAATTGACTACCCCATTTGCATCGATTTTAGAGAAAATCAATGCAAATGGGGTATTCAATTTTGCCAACCAGGAGCAACTGAATCGGTTATTAGAAATAACCGATTCAATAGGCTATTCAATCGGTTATTACTAATAACCAACTCAATTGTTTGTTCACCAACCGGTAGAAATTGAATCGATTATTAGTAATAACTGAATCAATAGCCTATTGAATTGGTTATTACTAATAACCGATTCAAAATGGTGGTTTAAAAATAACCACACATATCCTATCTTTCTTACGCGATCTATTTTTCCTTTAGAGCCGCCACCGTGGGTCCTTCACCGCTGCCACCAAGGGTTCACCATCACCGCACCGTCACTTTGCGTCCTTCACCCCCTTTTTCGCCCCTGTCGCTTCGCCTTCCTCCACGTCGTCTTCTTCCTTCACACTTCATTCATCTTCAGTGTTGCGTGCACTCTAGCTGCTTCCTCGTCGCCTCCTTCGCATCGTGCATAATGTCCACGTATAGGAAGGACGTTTGAAGATCAAGAAAGTCTTTATTTGAGCTGGAGGCTAACAAAGAGAATCATGATGATCTACAACTCAAACTTGAATAGTTTGATGGTGAAACATCTTATTTAAGGTATGAACTCAAACAACTCAAGAGCTATCAAAAATGGATGCAAAGTGCTGGCGGAGAGTTCATTGAAATTTAACGTAGTAAGTCAAAGCTCTACAGAGATTAACCTGGGCTAGGATACACTGAAGCTGGACGAAGTAGAACTCCTTTGAATCTCTTTGTTGATAAAAAACTAAGCTCACTAAAATCAGGGAAAAGAAAGTAGAGGAGGCAGTTGCTGTTGCAGAAACATGCAACATATCACACTCTTCAAGACGTAGTAATAAAACAAACAGTTAGAGTAGGCACAGTCATAAAAATGATAAGCGCATAAGAGTCAATCCATATACAAACTACATGTGCTTCTAATAAATAAATTTGGGACATATCAGAAGGTAATGTAACAAACTGAAGGCAAAACGAAAAAGGAAGACAGGGTACATGACTAGAAGTACAAACACACAAGCTATATGGATCCCAAAGTATACAGCCTCCCACGCAAAATCATTCTACGTGTCACCTTAGAGCCATGGTTGTTGGATAGTGGTTCACATCATATGACCGGTGATAAGAAAAGCTTGACGAACGTATAGTCTCTGGAAGGAGGAAATGTCAGGTTTGGTGGTGGCACACATGGCCAGATTGTTGGAATTGGGACTCTTAATTTGTCTAGCTTGCCACCATTAAAAATCTATTTTTGGTTTAAGGGTTACATGTGAATCTCACAAGCATCAGTCAAAATTGTGATCAAGGGCTTGATGTAACACTCACTCAACAAAAGTGTCGGCTGAAAGACATAAACAAACTAGTTTTTCTAGAAGGTGACGAACCACAAACAACTACTATAAGGTCAATCCAAATAAATTTTGGTATTAAGCTAGTGAAAGGGATGCCAGAGTATGGCACTACAAATTAGGCCACATGAACTACAAAGATCTAACCAGTTTGTCAAACTCTGGAGCTGTTAGAGGCCTACAAAAGATAATCAAAATAGAAGATGAAGTTTGTGGTCCTTGTCAATTGGAAAACCAAGTTCAGAAAAGTCATACCAAGAAGCTAATAAAATCAACCAATCACCCTCTTGAATTATTGCATAATCCAAAAACGGAGTGATCATAGTGCAGAATTTGAGAACAAGCCTTTTGAGGAATTCTGTGACAAGCATGGCATATGACATGAATTTTCTGCACCAAAGACACCATAGAAGAATAGGGTGGCCAAACGAAAGAATAAGCATATTCAAGAGATGGCACACACCATGATCAAAAGTTTTTAATTTACCACAGAATATATGTGCTAAAGCAATGCACACAACATGTTATACCATCAATCGCGTCGGTTAGAGAAGCGAAACCAAGGCCACACCGTATGTACTCTAGAAAGGAAGGAATCGAGTGTAGCATATTTTCGCATCTTTGGAGAAAGATTCTTTGTACTAAGAGATCCTGAACAGAAAGAAAAATTCGAGCCCAATAGTGATGATACCTTCTTTGTTGGATACTCCCCTAACACCAAAGCATATCACGTGTACAACAAGCGGACAATGACTGTCCTAGAATCAATAAATGTTTTGGTCGAGGATCGAATTGAGAAGAAAACAAAGAATGACATAGATGGTGGTGCACCACATGACACAACATCTCAAGAATATGAAGAAACACAGCTGACAAGAGGAGAAATAGAAAAGAATGAGCATGTAGAAGTTCTAGATACTGCAACATTTCCAACACACACATAGAAGAGTCATCTCATTGAGAAAATTGTTGGGTCACCAATGGAAGGGGTGAGAACCCGAAGTAAGAAGATTAACTTCCTAGAGATGACTAACGCTTACTACACCTCATGTGTTGAAAAAAATAACATCAAGGAAGAACTTATCGATGAATCATGGATTAATGCGATGTATGAGGAACTCGAAAAATTTGAGAGAAACAAATTATAGAAACTTGTTCATAAACCTGAAGGGGTCAATGTTATTGGTAAAAAGTGGATTTATAAGAACAAAACGACGTCAATGGTCCTTGGGGAAAACACTGCCTCCTTCCAGCGGGTTGGAGTGTTTTCTGGCCACCTCCGGCAAAATTGACGTCGCTCATCCCCTCCAAAGTGTTCGTGGCATCTTGGCGACCCCCAAGGACCCCTAAATTGTAAGATTTGATGGCGATTTGCAAAAACCCCCAATTTCGGATTTTAGGGTTTTTTTGAGTGGAAAAATTCAAATTCGAGGAGTTGCAGGCCAAATTGGAAAAAATGATTTAGATATTCTTGATCCTCATCTCAAGACGAAGAGAACGGCGTTGGTCCCGCCGGAATCTGACCAGGTTGATTTTCCGGCGACTTTGACGTGGTGCGACAGCGGCGGGGAGCGGAAGAAAAGAAAAAAAGAAATGGGGTCAAATTGAAAATTTTAAAATATATAAAATTCTAATTTCCCCCAAATGAGTGGAAGTTAACCTAGAAACGGGCAAATGGACTTTTAGTGAAAGAATTGTGTAAGTTCAGGGATTTTTAGCAATTGATCGTGTTCCCCTACTAAGTCGCCGCTAAAATACATTTCAAGGCGAATTCTCACTAAGTAGAGGGGGGATTTTACCCCGGTTATTGCAAATATTTTTGTAGCGAACTGGCTGATATCTTTACAAATGCACTGGATGAGAATAGATTTGAAACTCTCAGATCCAACTTGGGCCTGTGTGCACCATTCTAAATTCTATAGTAAAAAGAATACTTAAGTGCCAGCTAAAAGTGTTCATTTGTTTTGATCTGCTGGATTGTTTTGTCATTATGAGGATTCAAGTGGAGTGCAGCTTTTAAGGCTCCCTATGGCATCGCTAAAAAGTCGAAGAGGCACAGAGCTTTAAAATTCAAAAAAAACCATTCTCTCACTACTATTCACCCTATGTCTATCTAGACCGTCTTCTTCGCAAGCTCCAGTCCAGGAGAGAATATCCCTAACATTTAACTCTATTTCTCTCTCTAGAGCCATGGTTTGAATAAAGATTGCTCTCTTAGGAAATTCAACAAGATGAGACCTTCCAGGTCTCAGCCATCTTGGTTTCAATGCTTCTGCAAAGCCAGGAAATATGTTCAAGAAATTGCTAGAACCAGCACAAAAGAAGAAGAAAACCCAGTTGAAGATCTGCAAGACTGCATGCAGATAGATCTTGAAGATGATGTTTGCACGAGGCCCATCTCTGATCTTCCAAAGGTGTTGCTACTGGAATACGTTCTAGAGCAAGAGGGACAATCTTTACTTGAAGCCGCTGCAAAATTCTTGAAGAAGAGAAGACAAAACCAAGAGAAGAGAACTCAAAATCGCTTGGAATAAATACTCCATGTCAAGAATCATCTTCTAAAGGCTTAGAGAAGGAGACTGACATTCCAAACCCTGCTACTCAGGAAAAGACGCATGAGACTGATGAAGAATATCTAAAAATTCATGATGAAGAACCTCTGGTTGTTGTCTCTGAAGTTCCATTCTAGAAAGCTAAGGAAGAAGAAAAATGAATTAGCTAAATTCAAGAAGAAGGTGTCCAAATATGTACCAGTGGTTCAATGCTGGTCAAAGAGGAAAGCCAAAATTGATGAAGATCTATTAAATGAAGGCCCAGTGCATAAGAAATCCCATACCCAATATTATCCAGCTTCTTCTAAGTCCTGCTCTAATCAACTCTATACCTCTTTTTATTTCATGTAAAGAAAATTCTGTCCTTTCATATCAAGAAATCTGTGATTCTGCAAAGGTGCAATGATACAAAAGATTTTGAGCCTAAAACTAATCTTGTGCCTGTTCTTGAAAAATATAAGCTGATTAAATATGTAACTCTACAAGGACCCTTTGTTAAAGCTGTCATTCATGAATTCTTCTGCAAGCTGTGTGAGTCTTGTTGTGACCCCTCTGATCCCATGTTCCATAAGGTGTTTATTCGTGGCCAAAACATTGACTCTTCTCCCACTGTTATAAATGAATTTATGGAATTCACTTCCTGCTCAAGAGAAAAACCTATTTCCAAGAAAATGTTATGGGAGGATTTGACCAATAGCCTGAGACAATCCCAATCCAGCAAAGCTAAGATTCCCTCCTCCATTTTCAAAATCTCATATGTTGTACGTCTACATGTTGATGCACAACATTGGCATCACACTACTCACACTAATACTCTTTCCAAAATCATTGCAAATCGTCTTTACAAAATCAAGAATGCACTCCCTTTTGATGTTGGAAAAAATAGTATTTGAGCAGGTGATGCTGTTTGCCCCAGAGGAATACAAGATGAATTCCATAGGGCTTCCCTATCCAACCCTCATCTACAATATCTTAGTGTCTCAGGGCTTCAAGAAAGGAGAACATGAGGAGGTTGAACAAGAAGAGCCACTACTTCAGGTAGATGGCAAGCACTTTGAGGGAAGAAATTTCAATGATATTTTTATACCAAAGCTTATGGTGGTTATGGGTATAAATAGGGTAGAAAAGAAATAGGTTGTTATGGGCTGTAAATTGTGTTGTTTTGGCTTGAAATGGTGGATGGAAAAGTGAGGGACTATGGCAATAAGGTTATGGCCGAATGGGAGATGGAGAAAGGAGAAATAAACATGTTTTTTTGGAAGACAAATGAGGTGATTTTGGAGGAGAGAAGGGGCTGGACGAAATGGAGGAGAGAAAAAAGTGTTCTTTTGGGTTTTTGATATTATGGGATAAAACTAAATAAGTGTTAAGAGATAAAATTGGGACTACTGTCATCTTTTACACATTAATAATCACTACAAATGTATAAAATTAGACTCCTAACACACACTCAAAGTAGCCAACTTTAGAGATATTTCATTAAGACATTTTGTTGAACTAGCTTCACACCAATTCAAATAATACTCAATGAGTAGGATTTTTATTAATACATGTCATACAATACAATGCCATGTTGGCCGAAATTTAAAGGGAAATACAACAAGGAAGCTTCCTTCATCTTTCCTACAAATCAAATTACTAATATCCATGTATTACAATCCAAAATGAGTTGAATTCATGACAAGAATGAGAGGCCTTAATAGATCTTCTTTGGTGTTATTTGGGATGGATATTTTGTCCATGTGAGGGTAAAAATAAGGTGGAAAACATTGTGTGGATAGACTTTGTCTTTGATGAATAAAATGACAAAATTGCCCTATTCAATCAAGGACTTTGCTTGTTTGATTTGATTCGCGGCTGACTCACAAGAAGTGATATGGTCTTTGTTTAATGTAGGAAAAGGCTTATTCTTTGTAGAAAAATGTGGTAGAATTTTGGCCATATTGAAGGAAAGTGAAGTGAAATCATTTGTCTCAAAATTACAAAACATTCAATATTCAATAACATGATTGGAGAAGACTTTATTTTGAATAACATGACAAGATGAAATACTTTTGCATGTTTGGAAAAGGTTTGGGCTTATGAAAATTCATTCTAGGTGGGGTTTTGGGTTAAGAGGGTTTTGGTTTGGACTTTTGGAAGAGGAATGGAGAAGAATTCAACCCAAAAAGTATCATAACACTTAGACATTAACCCATTGATTTTTTTTTGTATCATGTGGTCTAAGACCAAGATTTTTTGTAGCATTCCGAGCTATATTATCCTCCATTTCTTCAGAAGAGTTTGACCTCAAACTCGGAATTTCTTCAGGTTGAAAATAGGGGGTGAGATTCGTAATGTTGAATGTTGCTGAAACTCCATAGTCTCCGGGTAAATTGACTTTATAAGCATTTTCATTCACCTTCTCCATGATTTGAAATGGTCCATCAGCACGAGGTAATTGGATTGGCATTTTGTGGGAAAACACTCTTTGTAGAGCTAGATCCAAACTAGATCACCAGGTTTGAACTCTGTCGACTTTCCTCCTTTGTTGATCTGTGCACTTACCCTTTCCTTCATCGCTCCTCTGTTGTGAAGGTCTAGGATCTCTTTTGCTTGCTTTTTCGCCTCCCTACTGTATTTTGTACCTGTCATGATGGGATCAATTTGAAGGAGGGTAAGGGGGTTAGAACCATAAACAATCATGAAAGGTGAAAATCCAATTGTCTTGTTTTGGGTTCTATTGTAGGCGAACTCTAGATGTGGTAGGAGTTGTTCCCATTGCTTGATATTTTCGCAGAGTAGAGTTCCAAGAGTGCCCAGAAACCGATCTAGAAGTTAATCAATAATTAAATAAATAAGAATTATTTATTTATGACAATATATTCTTTTAAAGAATTAAAAGATACTTTGGATATTCTAATTGTCTCAATATATCGCGATTGGTCTTATTTAAATGTTAAGTTTTAAATTAATAGACAGATCGGTATTAATTAATCGAAAGAATAAGGACGGTTGGGTAGGGATCGACGAATGGAATCCAATGACAAAAATGGATCTCAATTCGGAGCAAGTTGGCCCGAAAAGTATGTTTTACCCAAACACGTTATATTAAATTACAGAGTAAAAAAAACCCTAATCATATACTCCCTCCGTCCCCCTGTATTTGTCCACTTTCATTTTTACACACCATCCAATGCACTTCTTTAATTCATTTTATCTTGTAATTTGTATATTAAAAAATTATAGAAATTATATATTAATAATCTATATGTTAAGACAAATCAAACAAGATCACACATGACTATATTTACGCTTACACATTGAGAGAATTTGATGAGTCAAAGTGCTTAGATGAACAGTTCCAAAAGTCAAATGTGAACAAATACCGGGGGACTGAGGGAGTAATATCCTTTTTCCGCCTCCACGTGACGGATTAGAAATTTCTCTCGATTGCCGCTCCGTCTCTCTCGTTCTTCATTGGCCTAACGCCGTGACTCAAAGTAACAGTGATCGTCCAATTCCTTCCGGCGATAAGCTCAAACGACGGCGAGAACAACAGCCATCTTCGGGTCAGCGACTCCTGTAACGCCCCGAAAATAGGCCTATCAGAATTAATTAATTGATAATTAATTAATTACTGAGAAGGACCCAAAAATATGTGAATTATAAAGTTGGTCAATAAATAATAAAAATTTTATCATTATGTAGAGTTTGACTGTCTGATTCCAACGGTTTAATCGGATTTCAATTCGGAGAAAGTTGGACCAAAAAGTGTTCCCCGACTGGGACCAAATTAGTCCCAATCAGGGACTTACGTTTAGAATCGGAGAAGATAGCAGCCCACTCCACTCAGCCGCCGAAACAGTCGAAAGGAGGTCATCACCGTGTCTGTTTCCTCTTCACTAAGGCTATATAAGGACCACCTCTTCCTACCCAATTCTTCACCATTTCTTCCCAAATTGCTTCTGAGAGTTAGCTTTGAGTGTGTAGAACGCAGTGGTGCTGTCATATTGGTGTGAGGTCGCCGGAGATAGCCACAATCCTTGCCGGAAGTTTCGCCGGAAAATTTCCAAAACCTCCATTACGCTTCGAGGTAAGCCCGTAGATATATCTAGTGATTAGAATGTTCGTATAGATCGTTTTTACGTTCATAAACGGTCGTTTGGTTGAGTTTTATGTTTGACATGTTTGAAGAACCAAGAATCATAAACC